GACCCCAGCCTGGGCTACATAGTGAGTTCCAGGTCAGTCCCAACTATATAGTGAGGCCCTGTCTCAAAAAAAAAAAAGAGAGAGAGAGACTGAATCATATGCACCACGCACACGTGTGCATGCACTTTCACTTATCCATTCGTTTATCAGTGGATAAACAACCTGAGTGGCTTCCACCACTTGGCCCCTGTGAACCCAGGTCTACCAGCCTGGGCTACATAGTGAGTTCCAGGTCAGTCCCAACTATATAGTGAGGCCCTGTCTCAAAAAAAAAAAAGAGAGAGAGAGACTGAATCATATGCACCACGCACACGTGTGCATGCACTTTCACTTATCCATTCGTTTATCAGTGGATAAACAACCTGAGTGGCTTCCACCACTTGGCCCCTGTGAACCCAGGTCTACTCAGACCTCTGTGACATCTGCCTGTGGACCCTTGGCTGTTGAGCCCCAGGAGTGGGGTTGCTGTGTGAACTGCTGCCTCTGTTGTTGGAATTCTGAGGAACCCCGATTATATCCTCCACAGTGGCTATACTCATGTCCCCTTCCTCACCAACATGGTCATTTTTCTAAATATATTTTGTTTTATTTTCAGTACTGGGGATTAAACCTAGGGCTTTTGCACTGAGCTTTTTTATTTTGAGACAAGTTCTAATTAAATTGCTGAGGCTGCCTTGAATTTATGATCCTCCCACGTCTACCTCAGTTTTTTTTTTTTGGGGGGGGGGTTTTGAGACGGGGTCTCACTATGTATTTGAGAATGACCTGGAACTCACTATGGAGCCCAGGCCGGTCTCAAACTCACAGCGATCCTCCTGCCTCAGCCTCCCGAGTGCTGGGATTACAGGCGTGCACCACCATGCCCGGCTTTCTACCTCAGTTTTTATTGTAGCTGGGATTATAGACATGTGCCGCTACATCCTGCATTTTGCTTGCTGAGTTTATTTCATTTTGCCACTCTGTCTGCCCATCTGTCTGTCCACCCATCCTCCATTCACCCATCCACTTACTCGCACACCCACCCAACCACCCTGTCTTCCATTTATTTAGTTTGTATAGTTCAGGCTGGCTTTGAACTCAACTGTGTAGCCCAGGCTGGCCTTGAAATTGAGGCAGTTGTCCCGCCTCACCTTCCCAAATGCTGGGCTCACCACGTGAGCCACCATGCTAGGCTTGTCTGTTTGGACATGGGCCATTGGAAGGGGTGTAAGTGACATCACCGTGGCTTCACCTCTACCTCTACTGATGAGAGGCAGCATTTCATATGCGTGTCAGCCATTTGCACGTCTTTGCAGAAACGTTGAAGTCTTTTGCCTTTTTTTTTCTTTGTAAAACAAGGTCTCACTGTGTAGTGCAGGCTGGCCTTGAACTCACTGTGTAGCCAGGGCTGACCTCAAACTCCCAGTGATCCTCCTGGCTCGGCCTCCCGAGTGCTGGGATTACAGGTGTGTGCCTGGCACGTTCCTGGTTTTGCAGTTGGTCTATTTGGTTTGCTGTTGCCAAGTGGTAGGAATTTGGTATATATTCTGGATATTAGCCCCACTTAATTTTTTTTTTCAGCTTTAATTGAGTTTATTGGTACATTTTAGGGATACAGTACACTTACATTCATTGTTGGGATCTTGTACCTCCATATGGTAAGTCTTGATTCTCATTTTTTCCCCTTAACCCTGCCCTCCCTTCACCCCCTCCTCCCTTCCCCATCTACAAACACTTTATTTCCATCTTTTCATTATCTCACATTTTTTTCTTTTCCCTTATTACCCTTCCCCTACCCATCCCACCTTCCCTACACCTTTAGCTTCTTTCTTCCCATTTCTAAATGTCAGTAATCTTATTAGTATCTTATGTATTA